ATATCATGGCTGTAAATCAACTTTTTTGTGTGTGTGCGTGTGTATTATTAATATTATTATTATTATTATTATTATTTTAAGGAGAGCACTACAGGGCCAAAATCAGCATGTCCAATTAGCAAGAGGTACTACACATTAAGTTCAAAGAACTTGCGTTATCTGATTCTAATAGCACTAGTAACAGAGCCTAATCTAACCTGTCATTTCAAGAGCTATAGGGAGAACAAATTGCCATCAATGGGGGAAAGGTTTGGAACACCATGCAGCCTGTCCTCTCCTGACATCCTACTCAGCAAATTCCTCACAGATTTCGTCCTGATGTCAGTAAAACTAACATAAAGGTTATTTCATAAAATCTTGTGTGGATTGCTAACTTGTGAAAACCAGAGGACCCATGCCCAGAACAACAATACAGACTCAAGTAAATAATCATAGCATTTGTCCTTTGTGCTTAAAGCTTAACAAATGAGTGAAACAGAGGAGAAGCTGAAGAGTTCCCATGCCAAGTACCAATGCTGTGAGCACATATTGAAACGAGTAGCCAATAAATGTTGAAATCAAGGTGACTGATCATATAAAGACTTCTTGTTTGACTGAAGACTGTTAGGAAAGATTTCCAGTTTAATATGCAATACGTTGAGGGGTGGGGAAAAAAAAAAAGATAGAGTTAAATATTAGATGCTAAAGTCATTATAAATCATACCAGCTATTTCTTCAGGGAACACAATCCCTTCAGCAGATCAGGAATGCTGTAAGACATGGAGACGTGAACAGGGCAGACAGCAGGAGGACGTTTGTTACCAGTGTTAGACTGGCAGTGTCCCCAGAATCAATTTCGGAACCCTGGTGAAACAATAGATAGGCAAAGTTTTGGGATTTTGGTATTTGCATACCGAAATAATGCTGTGCAACTGGTCAGAAACTTTTCTTCTTTATCATGATACCATCAGAAATACAGACGGATGTCCAAAATGATAATACTAAGCACTCCTTTAGAGCACACCATATTTCAGCCAAGATCACTGGTATGTTCTGGTTACTTCACGCTGCTCTAATTAAAACTCAGTCATCCTTACAGCTGCTTTGTATTCCTAGAGCACTGCACAACAGCTGGATCATGTCGCTGATTTTGGCCCTTAAACTCCTTGGAAATTACTGTGTGAATATCAGAACTTTGGCCCTCTCTGTCACTATTTAAGCTTGAGTTCACCTGCATCTCTGGCTTCAGCACACAACACCTTTGCATTTGGATAAGGTGTTGGAAAAGTATCAACATTGTAACTGAAGACAGAGTAGGTGTTAGCGTTACACTGATTTTGGCAGGCTTTTACACAAAGAAAGGCTGTTAGGGGCAATGTCCCTGAGAGTGACAGACTGTCTGCCACGCTGTGATGTAAGACATGCTGCAAAATAAATCTACAAGTGTTAAAGACATTTTTAAAAAGGCCAAGTTTTAGTTCCTTTAGTGACAATCATATCCTAATTAGCTAGTTGATAAAAAAACTCCAGATCAATTGGTTAAGCTGCTCTGCTGCTGTATTAATGAATTAAAAAAAATAATAATAAATTGCATCTGTCCTTTGTGGACCTACATTTATTTACATCAAGTAAAAGCACACTCTAAATAGTCATTCCTTATTTCTCTGTTAGCACACTTACTTATAAACATATAGTCAACTACTCAGCCCTTACATGGCTTCATGAATTGTTATCTCAGCTCCCACAGGGACAGATGGATCAAAGTGACTGTCTTGAGTTATGATGTGACAGGGTGACACACCACCTTTCATGAAGTCTACCATATCCAGCTAAGTGCATCTGGTTGATTATGCAATGCTTGAGGTGGATGATTTGTCTCAACTAGTCATGAGTTAAAATTAATTGTGCACCTTCGGGTCTAACAGTTGTGTCATCTTACTATAGAGAAATCACTAACGCAGCATGTTACTAAGCAGAATACACTGTAATGTAATAATCTGTTTTTCACTGGAAAACATATGTAAGACAGGCTTGCAATATTTATTCTTAAAACATGTAGGATGTTCTAGAGCCATGAAGACATTCAGTGTAAGCCATGAAAAATAGGTTTGGTTTAGAGATGAAAGTGGCAGGAGGCTGTGACCCACAGGGACTCAGAAGGAAACACTTAGAAAATAGAGACAGATTGAATCCCGAGTGCTCTCTCCTGAGAGGAAGCATGGTTGGAAACTTTTAAACCCATTAAAGTTAAACAAATTGAAAAGCCCTATCTGAGAGGAAACATAGTACAATGTTTATTTTTCCATTACAAACCTGAGACCTAAAAGATTTCCTGAGGTTCTCAGGTATTGTTCATGCTTATAATGGAGATCTGTTTTTAGGAAGCATAATTCATGTGTTTAATCCAAACTGTTTGATGAAAAACACACTGCATAAGCATTCAGGAAGTTAAAGGCCATTGTATACCTGTATCACATATTGTTTGGAAAGGAGCAGACCTACAATGCAAGGAATCTCATCGTGAAACTCTCTCACTCGAAAACATTGGGTCTAATTTTCTCCCCATTTATGCTGCTGGATGAATTCCACTGAATTAATGAAGTTAAGACATGAGTAACCAATGATAATAAAAAGACAATCTTCCTGCAGAGTGTGAAACTACCAAAATGCAAGGCTAATGTGAGCAAGAGATTTATAACACTGGCCCGAGTCAAGTAAGTAGCAAGCCGTAGCAGGCCCAGCATAACATTAGCCAAGCTGATAAGTCAATGTATTTTAGGTTTTGCCCCATTGCTAGTGAATTGCTGCTCTGAGATCCTTATCAGAAAAGTGATGTTAGTGATGTTGAGAAGCATCTGCTTGACTAATGAACAAGCTGCAAACTAAATCCAGAGATGAATTTAAGTGAGAGAAAAGATTTGGAAGCAGTGGAATATTATTCATTAGACCTATAGATAGAAACTAGGCAAGTTTCAGACATGTAGACCCTGCTTCAGCTTTCTTCAGTCTGTCTGTTCAAATTGTAGCCCATCTAAAGCTAGATATTTCTCTGTGCAGATCTTGCTTTCTAGTATTCTTAGACTATCTTAGGTAAACCGGATTTAAGTAAAAAATCAAGGTACCAGAAAATATGACCATATACAAAAGTAAATTGGAGTAAGGCAACATAAACTCCTGATGGTTTCCCTTGTCTGTTATACAAGCAATTTCAAGTAGGATGAAGAATATCCAACTTTTAGGAGACCAACTTACTTTTTACATCTGAGTTTGGCCGTGAACCAAGACTAAATTCACTGCTGCCTTTGTATTGTGTATGACAAATACCTTGATTACAAATAACAATCAAGTTCTTCAACAGTTAAACACTGAAAATAATTACAAAAACCTACTTCAGCATAACATAGGAAGGTGACAGAATAGCAAGGTGACAGGATAGCAATATGGGTCCATATGTAAACATGTCTGAGTATCCTATGCACATCTGTTTAATAATGATAAGTAATGAAATACACACTGATGAACCCATCCTGTCTTCTGTGCCATTGTTAGTCAGTGACACAGGGCAAGACCTTACAGGGTAAGTGGGATTTTAAGGGCTAGCAGCGTCCCTGGCCAATTTGCAGGGTCAAGGGCGAAGAAAGGAGAGAGATGTTCATAGGAGAAGAGAACAGACAGGCAGATTAAGCTAATTTTATTTGAATGTGTTGTGTGGATGACAACTTGAAAAGGGCTGATGTGTAAGAAAGAGAAGAACTGTGAAAAGATTTGAAGATAAGAGCCAGTGGTTTAATTTGATATTGGTCAATGGCATTCAGCAGAGGGAATCAGAGAAGACTGTTGTTTGAGGAAGATAATACACGGGAAGGATGATTTTCACAGCTATGTTTTGTGTGACACCAAGTCTATGTTACTCATAAACTAAACAGGGCCAGGCCCCCATTTGCCCCTAGGGTCAAGTGGCACAATCCAGCCATGCTTGTCCTACTAAATGCTCTTCTCTTCCAGAACAGGGTGGCTGCATCTGGACCTGGGCTGGGTAAATTCCTGAATTGTGCCCAGGAACTGGTTGGCAGAGTGGTCGCTTGCCTGGACCTGAAGTGTGCCAAGGAGTGTGCTGAAAATTTAGTAATACAGTAGGTCAAGTGCCAGAGCTCAGGAACATTTGCTGTCACTGTTTAATTTCCTAGGATAGACATCGTCTAAGAGTGCAGTGTAGGTGCTTAAGAGGGCAAAAATGTGAGCATTCAATAACCATGACCTGACATTTTGGAGAAGCCTTGAATCTTCTGGAAGGACTGCATTGATCTTGCCCATTTACTTCTTGGTGGTTTCACTCCCTCTGTGCTTTTTTTCAAACTTCTTTTCGACTTTCCTTTATGGCACTTACTGTCTAATAATCTCATGCAGTATTTAGTTTAAGATGGAGTTTACCACTTGATTTAGTCTTCATTCTCAATTTTTCTTGGTTACCTGGAATAAAACCGTTGCTTCACTCTGGAAAAAGTATAGAGTGATCTTTGTTTGTCATGCATTGTCACTCCACTCTCATAGAGAATTTATACTCAAGAAATATGCTTTTCTAAAATTTAATTGCATTCCCATCTCTCAAGTAAACTTCATGTTAAAATAAGATCTACTTAACAACCTACTTTGTTTTGATGAATTGTGAATGATAAAAATGTTGACTGAAGGAAAGGGAACACTGGAAAATGTTCTTTATCATTTTCCTGTATCACTTTTAAGTTCCATACATTTTAACTCATATCAGCATCTTGGCATGCTGAAAAAGATGGTTACCCTTACTTTAGGACTCTGTTAAATTTATACTTAATGCCCTGGATTCACTGTCTGCCACACACAGAGTTGGTGAAATGGTTGAGCCTTCTACCACCATCTCTTGAACATGACAGTATTTTTCATTTTTCACAAGTTTGTTGTTCTTCCAAAAGGCAGTATTTCCACTGCAGCTTTTTCTAAGTAATTTTGTTTATAAATGCATCTTTATGTTTGTTTCTTTCTAGGTAGGGATGAGATCCCGAAACCAAGGTGGAGAAAGCTCGTCTAATGGGCACTTCTCCAGTTCCAAGCCTGTCATCAGCCATGCAGAGAATGAAAAACTTCAGGAGGATGCCAAGAAAAAGAACAAACCTCATCAGAAGGAAGATGAGGTCATGGTTTCAGCAACTGTCAAACGGCACTCAAAGTCACCTGGACCTACTGAACGAAAGAACAAGAAGTCCATAGAGCTTTCTAAAGAGGACTTGATAAAACTCCTCAGTATAATGGAAGGAGAACTGCAGGTAAATTAAACATCTTTTTTTTTAGTATATTTTCTGTGTATCTATTTATTTTTAGGTTGTCCAAGATGTACAGGGCTCAACTAACAGTGACATGCAAATTTAAGGCAAAGGACCATAAGGAGAGAGCAGTGTTTAGCTGGTGTTTAACAGGATAGTCATAGTTTTAAGTACTGCTTTATTTACCATCTCTATCTGCAGCTACCAAAGCAACAGAAATTCTAAACACCTGTCACAACTGACAGAGAAAGGGGGATCTGAAGGTCTTAAACGCTTAAAAAGAGGAAAAAACCACGGATGGATCAGTTTGGAAAAAGGCAAGCAAATATAGTGAGTAATTAAAATCTTTAATGCAAATATTCAAGGGACAAATCTGCAAGTCAGTAATACTGAAAAAAAGGACTTAAGATGGCCCCTGGACCTTCTGCATATTCAGATGTTGCTCAGGGCTCAGCCAAAGCTCTGCCTGTCCCACCTGGCCTCCAGCACTCTGCACATTCCCTGCCTTGCAAAGACTCATTAGTTTTATTTCTTGGAGTAGTGCTCGCTTGAAAGTTTTCTCAGTTGTCCTGATTTGCATGTTTATTCAGCCCAGTAGTAAGTCCTTGATGGCAGAGAGCCTGATTTTGTGCTTAACTCACATCCCCCAAATTTAGATCCAGTTTTGAGGATTCTCTCAATTGCTAATAAATCACGGAGCTCTTGGGAGTCTCAGCCTTCAGGGAAAATGCAATTTCAAAATAAAGAGCTGAAACATGGTATTTCAAAAAGTCAGTATGAAGACTTCTGACTTTTCAAAACTTATCCCCTTTTGTGGTGGGACTGCTTGACAAATTTATACATTCTTCTGTTTGCACTTTAATGATGTTTTTCACTGAATCCATGGACAAGCAGAAAAATAGTGCCCAACCTGTGTGAAAACGTTTTACGTTTCAATCTCTTTATTCTAGTTAACCTTCATTATTTAGCATTTCATATGAATGCTTTACTTTTTCCCTGAAACCCACATTCATAATATTTTTACTTTCATTTTGGACTTGTTACCATCTTACCTGATTAAGAGAAGCAATGGTTTTGGAGGTGATTAGTTAATTTCTTCGGTATATGAGTCACCCAAGTTGCACCATTACCACAATGCTGAAATTTCATCTTATTAAGTATCACTCTTCCTGTACATCATTTACCTTCAGCTTGTCAGAAAGTCCTTTCAAGTTTCAGGAAATACGCATTCAAATTTAGTAATTTTGTCATAAAACAGAGAAGAGTCATTTTGCACTGGGGAAGAAAGTGAGAAAATCTGTTGAATGCAATTTTGCAAAGGAAAAAACCTTCTATCATTGCAGAACAGTATCCATATTTATAGTGCTTCATTTACTTTATACAAAAACTTGTATATGTCATTTCCTAAAAGATGGAGCTAGCATGCAGCTTCAGTGGTGAATAGAGCCAAACCTCATTAGAAATGTATCATGTTCATGTTGTTCAGAAAGATTTACCCTGAAGTCACCTTTGTGGTCTGGAAAGGGGAGGCGAAGAAAGTCACTAAGGTTTCCTGGGTGGCAATAAATGTGGTCTTTATTCTTATCTCTGAGTAATTCTCCTGTTCAATACACGGAAATGTGGCTCTTCACCATAGTCTTTTACTTTGGGGGAAGTTACAAAACCTTTAAAGGACTGTCCATGTTGCATTACCCCTATGGCGATGCTGGGGATAGCTGCCATCTGCACCATAATATGGGCTGAAAATCCTCACCAAGACGATACTCCCACTGCCCTGGACAATACTTTTAGGGATGTTCATACATACAGACCCCACAGAGATGTTAGGAACCACTAAAGCTTCCCAGCATCACGGGAGGGTTGTGAGGACAGCCACACTGGTAGCCGTAGAGCGCATCGGTTCTTCTGCTCCTTGCTGCCAGGCAGGGAAGAGAATTATTATTTGTTTTATTCCATAAGAGTTTTTAATTTAGTTTCAAACCCCCCATTTTTGTTAGTTAGTTACCTGGTACCTGTGTTGAACTGTTACTGAAGTGGGCAAGCTACAGCACTTTGGCTTGAGATGAGAGCCTGGCTTTGACAGTACAAACGGAGATGAGCCAAGGAAGACTCCAGCCAAAGTAAATACTCTGGTATTACCTCCTGGCTGTCACAGTGACCTAATGCACTGAGTCATTTCATGGCTTTTCATTTTCAGATCTGTTCGGACATCTCTGGTGGCTGGCTGGCGTTTTGTTGGACTGACAAATCAGACTGTGGGTTTATTTTGAAGCCATTTCAATACCAGCAAAGCAAAGATTATATAGGCATATGTAAGAAAATTTTGTTTTGAGAATAACAGCAGGCTGTACCTGTAGGGAGATCCAATATTTTTTGAAGAAAAAAATGGCATAAAATACCATGACTGTTTGCTCAGCAGCCATGAGCAGGGGGGATCTTCTGCCTGCGTGACCAAATGCAGAGCACGGTGACGCTGCCTTGTAAACCCCAAACAGTGAGCTCAACCATGGGAAGTAATCTGGTCATGGCAACCATGGGGTTAGCAGGGTAAACTGGTAATGTATACATATGCTTCACATGCTTAGTTCACTACTCACATAATCTAACAACACAGCAAACATAGACCCATGCCATGTTGCTGTTGGTATCAATTTTGAGTCCTTACTTTGGGACTTGACCTGCCAGCTCTTCATTTTGAAGGTGAACATGCCAGTGAACTGTGGAGACATGCCCTAGCAGTGATGTTTATGTCTTTTTTTTTTTTGGTCTTTTTTTTTTTTTAAATTATAATGACCTCAGGTAGCTTGCCTGCTCTTTAGCTTCTAGGGCCAAGTTGGACTCAGCTCTGCCTGTCGTCAGATTTCCTGGCTGGGCCCTGTGCACTTACTGACTATAGAGAAGGAAAGGTTTTCATAAACGGCTGAGGTCACCATAGCCTAGGCCTTATTTTGTAAGAAAACAAAAGGGGAGAAAAAGTATACAGAAGCTGTGGCGATGAAAATGTATCCCAACACACATGGCAGGAGAGCTCTTAAGTACAACCTCTCTGAAGGAGAGTGGGAAACAAATGAACTGATGACAGGGATTGATTTTAAAGGCCTTATAGCTCAGTGGAGTGTCTTTTCTCTTGTGAGATCTCACTGCTCATATAAAAACCCAGTGATTACATGGTCTTTAAACACATATTGAACATTTAGGGGCAAAAAATCCATGAAGGATTTCTTCCTATACCTGGGAAAAAAAATTCTAATTTTTAAATACTGCAAAACTGATTTGAAAAGAAAACTTCAAACACCAGTAGAATAAATTGGACCATGAAGGCATGGCATTAATTTGCCTGGTTGTTACAGTGATTTCAGTCAAACCAACATGTGGATATTATTAATTACAGAGCAACACAGGCAGTGTGGATCTTTACAATGATGATATAATCATATCTGTGGTTCACAGATTTTTGTCCAATGGCCTATGTATTTGTCCTGGCAGCAATTTATTCCCTGTACACTTTCTGAGCAGCAGCCATTAATCTCCAACAATACCAACACTGATTTTCAACATTTCCTGATTAGGGGCCCAAAAGGAAATGAGGGGCAGTATTCATACATGTTTACCATTCACTCTTCTATTGCATGTTTGGAAAAAGACCCCACAATAATAAAAGTACATTTATGAAGACATCATCCCACCACAAACCATTGGGTTTTGCAAGAAAAATGATTTCTTAGCCAGGTTCTGTGCCTATTGCCAGGTGACAATTTAAGCTTGGGAGACAGTTTCCTATATTTCACACCAATCTAAATAGGAGCAACTTTTCTACTCGAGGCCTTTATTATAGCTGGCATTTTACTGTGTTTCTCCAGTGCAGAAATGGCATTCATTCGCTGCAGCTCAACCACCCGTTCCTGTTGAGGTCCCTTGCACGCTCTAGGGCTGAGGAAAATGTTTCCTGAGAGCCTGGTGCTGTGGAGGAACAGAGCTCTGCTCCTCAGAGCTGGGCAGCCATGGGGTGTAAATGAAATACATGTTAAGGTATCAGCTGTACGTTTCCTCTGTTGCAGGCCTGAGGATGTGGATGGGCAATATGTGAAATGTGATGTCTTGGAGAACAGTATGTATACTATATGTTATATATAGAATAATCACAAGCCGCAATTCCTGAGAAGTCTTCAGACTTCCAAATGGTCTAATGTAACACTGGGTTCAGACTGACTTTTGAAAGGAAACACTGTGTAGCAGATATTCAGAGGTAAACCTATTTGCATAGCATCCCCCAAATGACTCCACTGACAGAGAAGCCCTTTCCTTTAATCTGTATTTCTATAGACTGCATTTAGTGGTTAATTTGAGTGCTTATGCAAGGCTTCAGTGATGGCTCCCCAGGAAGGATATCTCCCCTTGCCTGGGGAGCAGCAGGCAACACACCCCATGGCAAGGTCTGCTCCCCTTGTATCTCTGGTCCTGGCTCGAAGCCAACACTTCTCATCATGTCCAGTTTGATTTGGTCTCTCTGATTAGGTTGTTAGTGAAAACATCATTCCAGGATTAAGACTGCCAGCCTGGGGTTAGCAGGTTAATTGCATTTGTGCCACTGATTACCAAACTGCAGATTGCACTGGTGGCTTCATCAGCTGCGGGAGGGGTTGTTGTAGGGCAGGTATGGGGGGACTGGTTGCTGATGGTTGAAGCAGGGTAATCATGGAGGGAAGGAGCTCTCTCATCCAACAGAGCCAGGAGGAGCTCACCTTCAGGGGGGCTGCAAGACTTTCTTCTTGACCTGGGTGTATCAGGGAAGGGTTAGCAGAGGTGGGTAAGGGCTGCATGTTTTGTTCTCTCTGGTAAGGTCCTTATGAAACACTTGGATAACAGTGGCTGTACATCCTGCCACGAGGGAAATCCTCTCTCTTAACAAACTAACTCATTTAACAGGTACCCACATGGGCATAGGTGATATACTACCTATTGCGTTCTAACATTTTTAAAGGTATTTTAGTATTTTACCATCT